GGCCGAACGGTCCCGCGAGAGCCTACAGAGGCCCCAGACGCACACCAGACGCCCGAAGACGGCCCAAAGAACACCCCCAACAGGCACTCGAGACACCGAAAGCATTGATATGCGATGGTTTTTGTATGATTTGGGGGGTGCTCTGCTCTTCAGTGCGACCGAAAAGCGCACCAAAACTATCCGAAATGGTTTCCAGGCAGTCAAAAAGAGCTCCAGGACGGCACATCAGGGTTCCAAGATGGCCCGAAGAGAGCCCAATGACGGCCCAAGATGGCCTCAAGACGCCCTTCCGTAGCCATTTTGGCTCAAGCCCATTTTGCCCCCCAAGCTGCGGCCTAGCAGGGGCTCGCGAGGCAGTTGTCAAGACTGTGACTGATGTTAGCTGGGCATGTGTGTTCTTGCACGTCCGAAGTGAGCTGTTCTGACGTGTTGGCCTCCCGGCCTTGTGCCTGCCCCACATGTTTCTGAGCTGCCATGCGTGCGGAAGGAAGAGCCCCTTTCCGCACAACGGCCTGACCTCACACTGGATATGCGACTCCCCAAAATGCGCAGCGGCATGGAATGCTACTGGCGACTGGAACCAGGGCGTCGCGGGCGACTTGGCCGGCCAGCGCGCCAGCGCGATGGACCGCGCGCTGATCGCCAGCGGCTGCCTGCCTGGTATGGGTGCCGACCGGCAGCCCCTGAACTCTGTGGCGGTCACGGGTCCCGCTGGCGGTGGCGGCATGACTGGGAGCTTCCTGGCGCTGACACCGCCCACGCCTACGCCTGAGGCGGTGGCCGAATACCTCGGCCACATGAGGCGGTGCCTGCAGGACCCGAACGCGCTGCGCCACCAGTCTCGGAAGCACTTCAGGATCTACGCGCAGCGCTCCCGCTCGGACGCGCTGACCATGGGCATGGAGCAGATCATGATGAGCTGGGAGCGCCTCCACCTCCGCCTGGCGCTGCCATGTGGCACCCTGGATGCGTCCACGATCCTCGGGAGCTGCAACCCGACGTTGAACCAAGAAGGTTTCGAGCTTTTCTACCTTAAGATGCTGCAGTCGCTCAAGCCGCCCCTGCTTGTTGCTGGGCATATTGACGCCTCCTCTACACCGAATGACGAACAGGAGAAATACCGCAGGAGGTTACAGACGTGCCGATTGGACCCGGGCACGCTGCGCGCGCAAGCTGGGAAGCATTTTTCAATTTTCGGTAAGGGCAACGACAGCGTTGGCATATCCGAGGTCAGGCAGAGCATAAAGCAGATGTGGATGCGAATGCGCGTCATGCCCAACAGCGACCAGGTGCCCGGGGAACTGGACCGCCAGGTGGTCGAGCTTCTCACCAGCCACGCCGATGGCCGACACTCCCGTTTCGACAAAGACTCGTGGGAGCTGTTCTATTGGAAGATGTTGTCCACGACCTTCCACCACCTCCTGCCCCTGGAGATTCCAGGCTGCGCGGACTCGCCCGACAGCACCAAGGAGTTTGCAGAGGAGTCGATGTCCGGCGCCTTCGGCGACCAGGCCACGGACCCCTCGCCGACCACGAAGCTCGGCTGCGGCGGCACGGCGGCGTCCCAGGCGCTGCAGGGCGCGGCGGAGCTGGTCCCGCCCATCATGCCCTTCTCCCTGCCCCAGGCGCCCCACACCGCCCCGCTCGCGGGGCACGGGGGCATGTGGCCGATGATGCCCCTGGCCCCCCCCGGCCGCGGCTCGCCCGCAGGCTTTTTGCCCTCGAGCCTTGACAACGGGCGTTTCGTCGTGGAGAGGAGGCTTGGCTCGGGCTCGTTCGGGGAGGTGTTCAAGGCAAAGGTCGCTTCCTCCGGGCTGCTCGTGGCGGTGAAGCGCGTCCTGAAGCAGCGGGAGAGCGTGATGAAGGAGTTCCCATGTGGTAATCTGCGCGTTGGTACCACATCTTCCACATCAAGGGTCGCATGTTCGGGGGAGTACATGATCCTGCAGGGTCTGAGCCACCCTCACGTCCTTCAGGTGATCGGCCATTTTGAGGACGAGAATAACCTGTACTTCGTCTCCGAGTTCCTGTCGGGCGGCTCCCTCACGGACCTCCTGCAGCAGCAGAGCGCCCCCTTCTCGGAGGCGTGGGGGGCCCTGGCGATCTGGCAGACGCTGACCGCGATGACGTACTGCCACTCCGCGGGCGTGGTCCACAACGACCTGAAGCCGGAGAATTTGCTGCTGAAGAGCCTGTCAGTCAGAGCGGGGCTGCACATCGTGGTCTCCGACTTCGGCCAGGCTTCCTCTGTGTACCAGCCTGGGCAGTGCCCCTTGAGCGACCTCCCGCTGGGCGACCCGAGGTACACGCCTCCGGAGGCGTGGGACGGCCAGACGTGCCACGGTGTCTGTTCCAAACCTGGGGATGTCTGGATGATAGCTTGCACATTGTTCGAGATCCTCTCCGGCGGGTCGCTCCCCTTCCTGGGCCGCAAGAACGTGTCGCTGCAGGAGTTCAAGAGCTGGTGCGCGACGACCCCTGGTTTCGCGATTGAGTGGGTCAATTGCCTCAAGACAGGGACGCCGATGTGGCAGAACTTTGCCGAGCCCCGCTCGTCGTCGTCCCGAGACTGCATCCTCCGAATGCTTGCGAAGACCCCGGTGCAGCGGCCCAATTGCGAGCAGACAATGGAACACACGTGGTTCTGGGAGCAGGGTTGTATGCAGCTGGGCGACAGCTCGACCGAGGCGTTCACGCCGGACGCCTCGCGTCTCGACCACGGAGCGGGCGCCATGCTTGGCCAGCCGGGAAGGGCGATCGACCATGCTGGGATGATGGGGGGCGCTGCGTCTTCCCAGGGGTCCTCGGTGCCCAGCGCCACGATGATGAGGCCGATGGGGAAGAAGTTGTCTGCTGCGCCAGTCTCGAAGAAGAAGCTGCGTGGCCCCAAGTCGGCGACGACCTTGCCGCCAAACACGGCTCTGTCGGCTCCGACCACCATGACCAAAAAGGGGGTCCAGATCAAGAACCAGGTCCTCCAGCACAGTGCCGCAATGCTCGAGTCAAAGCAGGACGACGGCGCCGCGGCGGGACCCGCAACCGCGCCCGGCGCTGGAGCTGCCGGGGCGCCTTCGGAGTCAGCCCGCCCCGCCGACGCAGAGGCCGCGGGCCCGCAGCACCAGAACGATGCCCACGACAGCGTGCGCGGCGGCAGCCCCCCCCGCGCAGGCGATGGGCGCCCCACTGGCGAAGCAGAGGAGTTGGCCGCGCAGGTGGAGCAGAGCCACCCTCCTTGCCCCAGCGCGGGGTGCGCCCGCGCCCCCGACGGCGGCCCGCCGCCGCAGAGCGTGCTGGCGGGCGGCGGGGTGCAGCCGGAGGGCGCGGGGCCCCCGTCGGTGTCGTCATGGCTGCCCCGGGGCACGTGGCGCCGGTACAGGGAGCCCGGGACCAACCGCCTGTGGTTTCTCAAGGAGGCCACGGGCGAGTCGTTCTTCGCGGACTCTCCGGGCGCCTGGCGCCAGCACGCGGGCGCGGGCGGCCGCACCTGGTGGTCAAGGGCTCCCTCGAGGGCGCGAAGTTATTCGCGCTTCGCGGTCCTCGTTCCTTCTCCTCCTCCTCCTCCTCGTCCTCCTATTCTCCCTTTGGGAGGGCGGCGCGAGAGCGCGAAGTTATTCGCGCTTCGCGCTTCGCGCAGCGCGAAGCGCGAAGTTGGGAGCCCTAGGTGGTGGAGCCAGGAGTCGAACACGAGTTTCTGGGAGGACGAGTGCGACAGCGCTGCCGGAGACGACGGCGGCGTCGCCGAGGAGGGAGCGTCTGGGGACGACCTGGAGGCCCTCGGCCTCCAGCACCTGAGGCGGAAGGTCCACCTGGAGCCCTGCCTGAAGGACGGTGGGGAGGTGCGCTCGGCAGTCAGGTACTCTGGGAAACCATGGGAGTTCCACGTGGTCCTGTTCCGGAGCAACAGCAACGACAAGCTCGGCCTGAACTTCATCCTGGACCAGGACTCTCGCATTCCAGTGGTTTCTCAGGTGAAGGACGTGGGCATGTGCGCCAGTCACAATTTAGAGATGCAGCAGTTTCCAGAGGAGAGCCCATTGCATCAGATGCAGGTTGCTGCAGGCGACAAAGTGAAGGTTGTAAACGGTTTCACCTCTGTCGAGGACATTAGGAATGAGTTGACAAACGCTCTTGTCGTGCACCTCAGGGTGGTGCGGCCAGGGCATCCTCCAGAGACTGCGAGCACCCTTGGCCGTGCAGCAGGAATGCTGTTTCAGTGAGGCTCGGTGGAAAAAAAAAAATGGCCTCAAGACGCCCCCCGAGACACTCCAAATCGTGACTGGGTCGGTCCCAAGACGGCCCGAGAGGCGCCCAAGACAGCCCAAGAGAGCCCCAGGACGAGCCCCAGAGGCCCAGAGGGGTCCCAAAGGTGCACAGCCATATTAAAATTCCGAGCTTTCGGCCCCAGAGGTTCCCAGGAGGCCCCAAGAGGTCCCCAGGAGGCCCTAAGAGACCTCCCAGAGGCCCCAAGAGGCCCCCAAGAGACCCCCAGGAGGCCCCCAAGAGACAGCCCCAAAAGAGCCCCAAATAGGCAAACATCGTCGATTCCCGATGGGAAAACTGATGTTTTCGGCGTGTTCGCCTTTGGGCTTACACTGCGTCCAAGACGGCCCAAGAGGCACCCAAGTCGGTCGAGGATGCTCCCAAGAGGGCCTGAAGACGGCCCACAAGGGGGCCAAGACGGCCCACGAGGCGCCCAAACCGCCCAAGAACGCCCCAAGGCGGCGCCCAAGACGGGGACGAGGAACCGGAAATTCACGCCTGTTGGTCCAAGAGACCCCCAGGAGACCCCAAGAGGCTCCAAGAAGCGCCCACTCCCTAAGAGGCCCCCATGAGACCCGAAAAAATACCAAAAGAGGCCCCGAAGACGCCCCAAGAGGCATAGAGCCCCCCCCCCGGCCCCGGGTGCCACGCCTCCCCTTGACATCTCGGGAGCGCTCCCTGTACCGCTCCCCGGGCGTTCCGGGGGGCCTCCACAGCGCTCCAGGAGGGCCCGAGACGCCTCCCAGGAGCCCCCAGAATGCGAAAGGATGGTCCAAAACGCTCCCAAGCAGCCGAAGAGGCCAAAATCCTAGATTTACATTTATTTTGTTTCAAATGTTTTTGGCTTCTCGCGTCTTCGAGCTTCCAACGGTCCGGTAGCGCCGACGAGGCTCCCAAGACCGCCCCGAGACCACCCAAGAGACCCTCAGGACGGCCCCAAGACGGGCCAAGAAGGCTCCAAGACTGCCGAAGAGGCGTCCAGGACAGCCCCAGACCACCCCAGAACAGGCCAAGATGGGGCCACGAGCGGGAGCAGGAGGCTTCCAGAGACATCCGAAAAGCCTCCGGGACCACCCAGATGCCCCCAACACCCTCCCGATCCCTCAGAGGCCCTAGAAAGACCCCGACGAGCTCCAAGAACAGCCCAAGAGAGCTGCGAGAGCCGTCCCGAGAGAGCCCAAAGAGGGTAAAATCGTTGATGCCCCATGGTTTTTCTAATGTTTTTCGCCTTCTCACGTTTTCCCGCTTCCAACCCTCGAAGATCGATGATTTTGGAAGTATATCTAATTTCCAGAATCCCTTTTTTTTTTCAAAGTGGGACTCCTACTCGGTGGTCCTACACAACCCCTAAGATCTGGCCAGTACCGCGCCTCCCGGCTTCCCGGGGGGAGACCCCAAGTCGCCGAAGGACAGCCCATGACGACCCCAAGGAGCCTCCAGAACGTAAAGAACGGCCCAACACGCTCCCGCGCAGCCCGCGACACCCGACGGCTCTCCAGGCCTCCAGGAGGCCTCCAGAACCCCCAGGGGTCCGGAAGATCCCACGCCCCTGAGGGGCCCGGCTACCAAAACCCGCGAGGCAGAAACAAAGAACAGCGCTGAACAGCGACGAGGAACTGGAAAAACATGGAAATTCCACAATTCTTTTTTTTTTCAAGTTTGCCCCGGCATCCTTTGCAAAATATTTTACGCGCGCACACTTTGATCACACATTATAAATGTTCGAAAGAGCGTGTTCTACCGCTGCTGGCGGAAGACCGCGGGGGGTCACTACCGGTTCGAACCCCTCCCCCCCCCCCTCCGGAAAACCGGGGGGGGTCTTTACCGGTTCGAACCCCTCCCCCGCCCCCCAGTTCATCATGAAAAGAGGAGGGTCACTACCGGTTCGAACCCCCCCCCCCTCCCCTCGAAAACCGGGGGGGTCACTGCCGGTTCGAACCCCCCCCCCCCCCCTCGAAAACCGAGTGGGGGTGCGGACAGTGGTGGGGACGGTGTTGGTGGGGACAGTGGTGAGGGGACAGCGGGACAGTGGAGGGGACAGTGGGACAGTGGGACAGTGGTGGGGACGGTAGTGGTGGGGACAGTGGTGGGGACAATGGTGGGAACAGTGGGGACAGTGGACAGTGGTGGTGGGGACAGTGGTGTGGGGACAGTGGGAATGAGGTGGAAACAGTGGCACAGTGGAGGGTACAATGGTGGTGGGGACAGTGGTGAAGGCGGTGGCGAGGACGGCGGTGGGACAATGGAACAGAGGTACAGTGGGGACAGTGGTGGGGACAGTGGAGACAGTGGTGGGAACAGTGGGACAGCTCAGTGGGACAGCGGAGGAGTCAGTAGGACAGTGGGGACAGTGGGGATAGTCGGGCAGTGGTTGGGGCCGTGGAGACAGTGGGGAGAGTGGAACCGTGGTGGGAACAGTGGTGGGGACAGTGGGGACAGTGCGACAGTGGTGGGGGCACTGGTGGGGACAGTAGGGACGGTGGTGGAACCAGTGGGGACAGTGGTGGTGAGGACAGTGGTGCTGGGAACAACAGTGGGGGATGTGATGCGGACGGTGGTAGGGACCGGGAGTCGTTTGCTGGCGGTGAGTGGGGAGGGGAGGTTCGAACCGGTAGTGACCCCCCCTCCGGTTTTCGAGGGGAGAGGGGGGTTCGAACCCGTAGTGACCCCCCCCAGTTTTCGAGGGGGGGGGGGTTCGAACCGGTAGTGACCCCCCCCGGTTTTCGAGGGGGAGGGAGGGGGGGGGGAGGGGTAGGGGAGGGGTGGGGGTTTGCCGGGGGAGGGGGGTGGGGGGCGAGGGTTTCCAGCAGGGGGGGGATTTTCGGAGAGGGGGGGGGGGGCGACCCCCCGGCTCCGGAGGAGAAGGTTGGACATTTTCCATAGTAAAGTGGCGGTGGATCACGCTCTCTCAAATGTTGTTCAAAACCCCTTTGCAAAACATGTAACGAAGTTCGCACGCCCGCGTCATCGCGCGCGCATGCCGAAATCCTTTGAAAACCGTCGGTTTCGTAAGGATTTCAGAATCGAGCGTCCAAGACACATATAAAGGCGCAGGGTTTCGCAACACAGCTTTTCAGACAAAAGTTGCGTGCGCTCTCGCGAATGCTTCAGAGAGCCACATGTTGTTGCTTTATGTTCCAACATGTTCAAAACATGCTACCAATCAGGCTTCGCGCGGGCATGTCGAAATCGTTCGAACGCCCTTGCGCGCGTGCTGGGGTGGCACGATCCGTGTTAAATAATACCATGCGGGCCACTTTCGCGCGTCTGCCGCGCGCGCATATCGAATTCCTTCCAAAACCTTCATCACCGACTCGAAGACGCTTCATCGTCGTCGGCGTGATCAGCATCGGCGCCGTCACTGGCGGCCCCGTCGTCGCTGCCAGCTTCGTCGCCAGCATCGCTACAATCATCATCATCATCATCATCATCATCACCATCATCATCATCATGTCTATCGTTGTCGACCTTGCCATGATACCGCGCCCACCCAAGTCGCCGACTCGCACTGAAGTGCCCGCTGGGATGTGCCGAGCGGTCAGCGCCACCGCGTGGCCGCTGGGCGCGTGAGCATGCGTGGGCTGGCGCGGCCGTAGAGACGCACCAGCCAAAACCAAACACTCATCGCAATCGCTTCCGCATGGGTTTTGCAAACCAAGTTGCGGATGGGTGGGATGATTGCGCGAGCAGTGGAGTGGACAGTTTCAAGTTCGGCAAGGAGACTTACACTACATAGCTTGCGCCACACAGCCTACACTACACAGCTTATTCCTGATATATTGCGCCGCGCAGCATTGCTTGTACCACAAAGCTTGCCTCACGCAGCTAGCCACGCAGCTTGCACCGCATAGCTTGCACCACATATATCCTCCTTTATAAAAAGAAACTCGACTCTACCCCCCCCGGCGTTATCGGCCCCACTTTCGGGTGTGTAAATCAAATATGATTCCGACCACATGTCCATCCTAAACTTGAACTTACACTATGCGTGAGGGGCCGGGACCGGCCCCAGTGAATTTCCCTTATAAAAGACAATACGCGGGGACATCTTTTGTTCTAGCATCGAATTGTTTCACGAATCCCTTACAACAAATGGGACGAAATGCGCACGCGCGCTTCGTCGCGCGCGCATGACGAAATCCTTCAAAACCCTCGGTCTCGGAAGGATTTCGCAATCGAGTTTCCAAGAAACATACAAAAACATATGGTTTCGCAACACTGGTTTGCTAAAAAAACTTACGCGCGAGCTCTTGCGAAATCTTTTACAACAGCCACCATCGGTTTTCAAGATTTTCACAAAATGCTACCAAACGGGCTTCGCGCGCGCACATATCGAAATCTGTCGAACGCCCTTGCGCGTGTGCCGTCGCGAGGATCCCCTGCAAAAAATAGGACGCAGTGCCGACGCGCGCGTCGTCGCGCGCGTATGCCGAAATCCCGAAAAACCCATCGGTTTCGGAAGGATTTCAAAACTGTGTGTCCAAAAAACCTACAAAAAACACGGATTTCAACAAAAGCGTGCGCGCGCGCTCTTGCGTCGTCGTCGTCGTCGTCGCCGTCCTCCCTCCTCCCGCGTCGTCGTCGTCGTCGTCACCTACGTCGTCCTCTGTCTTGCCTCGTGTTCGTCGTCGTCGTCCTCTTTGGCGTCGTCGTTTCCGTCGTCGTTGTCGCCGTGGTCGTCCTTCCTCCTCCTCTCTCGTCGTTGTCGTCCGTCGTCGGCGTCTCGTCGTCGTCCCTCCTATTTCGTCGCCGTCGTCGTCGTCGTTGTCGTTGTCGTCGTTGTCGTCGTCGTCTTCCCTCCTCCCTCGTCGTTGTAGTCGTCGGCGTCGCCGTCCTTCCTCCTTCTTCGTCGTTCGCGTCGTCGCCGTCCTCCCTCCTTCCTCGTCGTTGTCGTCGTTGTCGTCGTTGTCGCCGTCGTCGTCCTCCCTCCTCCCTCGTCGTCGTCGTCGTTGGCGACGTCATCGTCGTCGTCGTCGTCGGCGTCGGCGTCGTCGTCGTCTTCGTCGTCGTCGACGTCGGCGTCGTCGTCGCCGCCGTCGTCGTCGTCGTCGTCGGCGTCGTTGACGTCGTCGTCGTCGTCGTCGTCGGTGTCGTCGTTGTCGTCGTCGTCGTCGTCGTCGTCGTCGGTGTCGTCGTTGTCGTCGTCGTCGTCGTCGTCGGCGTCGGCGTCGTCGTCGACGTCGGTGTCGTCGTCGTCGTCGTCGTCGTCGTTGTCGGCGTCGTCGAAGTCGTTGGAGATGTCGTCGGTGTCGTCGTAGTCGTTGTCGGCGGCGTCGTCGTCGTCGGTGTCGCTGTCGTCGTCGGCGTCGCTGTCGCTGCCAAGTGCCATTTGGTACCCACCGTCACGGTCTTAAGAGATTTTGCAAACCAAGTTGCGGGTGGGTGGGTGGGATGTTTGCGCGAGCAGTGGAGTGGACAACGCACTGCGAACAGAAATTAATTGCACCACATAGCTTGCACACCACATGCCTTTCGCCACATGGCTTACACATCCACAGGGCAATAGCTCGCTGTCTGCGGTCCATGCTCGCTCTCACAGGACCCGTGCGCCTTGACGAGATAGCGTCGGGACTTTTAGGCACCGCAGAACATCTGCGAGGTCCATCGATTCTGCTGGAGCAACCCCCCCACGAGGCTGGCTATCTCCAGTTCTTCACCCCGCCCACCCAGCACAGCCGCGACACGGTCGTCATGGTCGCGGAGGACGCCCCGGTGCTCTACTGGCTCCTGCGCGCCCTGGGACACGCCCCCGAGGAGGCCAAGGCTCAGAGGGCTAAAATGGAACACCCCTGCCCCAGTCTCGTCATCATCGTCCTTCGTCTTCTTTCCGGCGGCACCGAGACACGACAGCCGCAGCGAGGCACGAAGTCAAAATGAGTAGGAGGAGGAGGAGGAGGAGGAGGAAGAGGAGGAGGAGGAGGACGAGGACGAGGAGGAGGAGGAGCAGCAGCAGCAGCAACAGGAGCAGGAGGACGAGGAGGAACAGAACATTGGGAGAGTTGGTTTGGTGCCTCGCACACCCGGCTCCCTTCCACTACTGCGAGAGTTGGCTAGGTGCCGCTCACACCTGGGTGATACGTACCGCCCTGCGTGTTGCCTGCCCCCCTTCACGGAAATTTCCCGTGCCACCCGCCTTCATGGTATTACGCGAGCTGGTTAGTGTTGTGAACACCGCGCCGCGTTCCCCATCAAAGAAATGAAATGTACGAGTTTGCCTATCGCAGGTCGGCTCTTGGGGTGCTCTTGGTTTGCCTTGCGAGTCTTTCAATCACATGGCGGCTGAGGTTGTGTAAGTGATATGCAAGTCATTTGCTTGAGGTGGAAAAAATGAAATGTACGAGGTGGAACACGATGTGGCACCGCAGTAAATCGCGGAACACCCGCGTCAGTGTAACATGTGCCGCGGGTCGTGTCAGGCTCCCGCGCTCGTATCCTATTGCTCTGCGTGCCCCGCATCCCTTCGAAGCCCGCAGGGAGGGCGACGCCACAGGTGGACGAGCAGTTTTGCCAGGAGGGGAGGAGAAGCGGAAAGATACGAGTTAAGAGTTGAGAGAGGAATAGAGGGGGTGAGCCCAAAGAAGGTGCCCCTGGTCTCTTGCAAGAACCAGCTAGAGAGGGCCAGAGGGGGTAAAGGTGCCGCCCGCTCCAAGCACGTGGAAAGCACACGTGAAAGACACAGTCGGTCTGCACAGACGCAGATCGCACGCGACTCGGACATGCACTCCTGGACCTCAATCGTTGGCCACAGTGCCTCCTCCTCCTCCTCCTGCATCAACGGGGGCACAGTGGGCTTGGCCGGCCAGTTGAGGAGACCTGAGCAGTTCAGGTCTCTCTTTTTGGACAGGGGGGATTCCCCCTGTCCAACGAACCCGGAACGAAGGACCTCACCCTGGGGCCACCGAGGGGCCTCGACCGCGCCGATCGCCGGTGCCTGGCCGAGACGCTGGAGGGCGGGCCCGTGGCCCCTGGTGCCGACGAGGGCGGCTCCCCAGTTTGGGGGGACACGCGAGGGGAGGCGTCGCCCCTCGCATCGGCAGCGAAGAGGCGAAGAGGCAGCAATCCTGGATGCCCCTGGGGAGTTCCAAGGATTTGGGCCTCTTGGGGGGGGGGTCCTTAGTGGGCTCCGAGGGCACTTGGAAGCGTCTTGTGGCCCTCGTGGGGCCACCAGGAGGTATGTCAGAAACTATGTTGAACCATCTTCGGCTACCTTGGGCCACCTTGGAGGCCATTTTGGAGCATCGGAGGCCCTCTTGGAGCCATCTTGGGCCATCTTGGGCGCCCTAACCCATCGCGACCCGCCCCACTCACAAAAAAAAACTCAGGGAGGGGAGAGGGAGGGTACCCCTCCCCGAAGGGAAGAGGGTTGTGGACGAGAAAAGAAAGATGTCGCTAGACCACCTTAGACCAAGGGGCTGGTGGGATTGTGAAAGCCTTCGGAACTCTCTTGGGGCGCTCTTGGTGTCCTCTTGGGGCTCTCGTGGGGCCCTGTTTGGGGATCTTGAGGGTCTCCAGGGGCCACCTTGGAGGCCATCGATCAAAGGGGGGGGTCTTAACGTCAACGCCCACGCCGGAACCTGAAACATAGCCTTCTGGGGCCATCTTGAGGCGCTCATGGGGCGCTGTTGGGCGATCCTGGGGCCGTCTCAGAGCCTTCCTGGGCGCCTTTCGGGGCCCTCTGGTACGATCCTGGAGCCATCTTGAGGCGTCCAGAACCGATCGGACATCAGAAGCAGAGAGCGCAAAACATCGGTAAGGAAAGGTCTCAGGAAACTTGCCTCGCACCAATCTCCTGCACGCGTCGCGAAGGAACCACGCAGGCTGCTTCGACGCCACGCCACGCGCGCGCAGACGGGACAGACCGGTGGGCACGCAGCGTTGCCAAGCGTCGATCGGTGCGTGCTTGCTGTGAGTGCCGCGTGTGCGTCACGTCCGCGCGGTATAGTATAGCGCCATGCGGCTCGCGCCAATACCATGACGTTGGTGCATTGCGGTGGATATGCTGCTTAATCCAATCGTTTGCACAGTACATTTCCTAAATCGTCGTTGCTCCCGCGTTGTGCACTTCTTCGCGCTTGGTGCCAGTGATTGCCCAAGGTTTCGCTTTGCCTTGCTGGGTAGCGTGTAGGAACGCTGTCCTGCTTCCGCGTAGGTTTTACTTCGTATTGTTCGTGGCAGCGCGATCCTTTACGATGGGTATGCTGGTATTTGTGGGCAGGGTTCGACCAGTCTTGCCCCCCGCCCTGCGGGGTGATTTCATGATCCTTCTTAGAGTCTCACAGTTTTCGAGCTGTCTGTCGTTTCCAAGCCGCGAGTTTTACTGGGTATGTGTGTGCGTCTCGTTCCGTGGAACACCTGAAGAAGTCTCAGGCGACATCCCGCTTTCGAAAATGATCCGCTGACCATCTGGGTAGCAGTTGGAGGTTGCAAGCGGTAGAACCCACACTATCAAATATTGCTGAAACGAAACCATGTTTATGTTTGACGTCGTCCCGCCCTCCGTTCGCGCAACTGTTGGGAATATCAAGCCTCGGGAACTTTGCAAGTACATATCGTAGCCATTGCTATGCGGTGATCGCTATGCAGTGTGAGCTATGCAAACTATGCGGAGGAAGCTGCGTTGAGTCAGATACGTGGTGTAAGCAATGTGGTGTGAGCCATGTGGCGTGGGTTTTTCGGTGTAAGATATGTGGGTAGGCGATGTTGTGTAAGGTGTGCGGCGCACGCTGTGTGTTGCGAGTTCAAGTGTGTCAGCCGTGCTGTGTGAGTCATAGGATGTGAGCGATCTTGTGCAGACATTGTTGTGTAAGTTATGCTGCGTACTCCAGATCTCGTAATAAAAGGGAGGGGGTCTGGACCCTCCAAGACAAGCCATTTCAGACCTCCCCCGTGGGAGAACCCTCCAAAACATCGTCCCCAGACCTCCCAGGGCCCTCCAGGATAGCCTGGAAGAGACCCCCCCCCGAAATGAGACCCCCCTCCCTTTCTTACACGAAATCTGGAGTAGGCTGTGTGGTGTGAGCCACGTGGCGAACGCGCTGCTGTGCAAAGCTGTGCGCTGCGACCCACGCGCTGCCGCGCACGGGGGCGCCCACGGGCGCGCACAGGCGCCGAGGCGCAGCGACACCTCGGCACGCCCACCCCGCGCGCACGCCACGCCCACGGGGCGCCCACGAGCCGACCGCGGGCGCCGACGCGGCGAACCGTCGGCACACGCGCCCGGCGCAGGGCGCCCCTCCTCCTCCTCCTCCTCCTCCTCCTCCTCCTCCTCCTCCTCCTCCTCCTCCTCCTCCTCTCCTCCTCCTCCTCCTCCTCTCCTCCTCCTCCTCCTCCTCCTCCTCCTCCTCCTCCTCCTCCTCCTCCTCCTCCTCCTGCTCCTCCTCCTGCTCCTCCTCCTCCTCCTCCGCACACGCCACGCCCACGGGGCGCCCACGAGCCGACCGCGGGCGCCGACGCGGCGAACCGTCGGCACACGCGCCCGGCGCACGGGGCGCCCGCGAGGCGCCCACGCGGCGCCCGCGAGGCGGCAGCGCAGCGACGCCTCGGGGGACCGGCCCGGCGCACAAAGGGGCGCCCGCGGGGCCGCGGAGGGGGCACGCGCGGCGGCGCGGCGAGGGCTCTCGGGAGAGCCCCGCCCGGCCGCTCGGGGAGCGGAGAGCCGGGGCTCCGAAGTGCAGGCACACCGGCTCGGGGAGGGGGGCGACGCGCCCGGGGCCCTCTCGGCGGCACGCGCGGCGCTGCGACGTGGTGCTCCTCTTCCCGTGGCATGGGGAAGGGCACGAGCAGCAGGAAAAAGGAGGAGGGGGAGGAGGACGACGACGAACAGGAAGAGGAGGAGAAGAGGGAAGAGGGGGAGATGCAGCAGCAGGGGGGGCGAGAAGAGGAGGAGCAGGAAGAGGAGGAGGAGGAGGAGGTGGAGGAGGAGGAGGAGGTGGAGGAGGAGGTGGAGGAGGAGGAGGACCAGTGTAAACCCAAGACCCGTCAGCGATGTTGGAATATAAGCACTCCCTCAAACTCCCTTTTCACGGGCCCCTACAGGATGAATGTCCGCTGAGGGACTTGCCCCGTTGGGGGACATCCGTTTGAAGATCCAGATCGCGCCAGAACTAATTTCTCGGGATGCCAACGCCACGAATCAATATGACTGATGTGTCTTGGTAATCCTGAACCGCGCCAGAACACCATTCCTGGGACGTCGACACCACGAATCAGCGTAATCGTTGCGCCCTGACGATCCAGAATCGGTCCCAAACACCCTTTTGGTACGTTGCCCATGGGATCCCGTGGAACTCTGGAAAATCGTTAAGGCGAGTGTGCGCAGCGCTAAGACCAGAGCCACATGTTGAAAACCACCCGCACGCAATCCGTGCAACCACTCGCACGCAATCCGCAAGCGAGTGCGCGCGGTGCTAAGGCGAGAACCCCATTTTGAAAACCACCCGCCCTCAATCCGTGAACCTCCTGCAAAGTTTAACACTAATGTGCGCGGCGCTAAGGCGAGAGCCACATTTTGAAAACCACTCGCCCTCAATCTTGTAATTTGCTAAGCAGACCTGTGCGCGGCATTACGGCAAGAGCCTCCATATGTGAAGCTGTTGCCAATTTTTAAGCTTCAGCATCATAAACGGCATGTGTAGTCTCGGGTTAAGCGCACGGCCCGCCCTTCCGACTGGCCTCGGGGTACGACGGGGAGAAATGGAATGGACGAGGAGGAGGAGGAGGAGGAGGAGGAGGAGGAGGAGGAGGAGGAGGAGGAGGAGGATATGGAGCACGAGAAGCAGCCATGGTAGGGAGGAGGAGCCGCAGCAGCACCTCGGCGAAGGAGGGAGCGGAAGGCTGCCCCGAAGGCCACTGCCGGGAGCTACTCTATCCGGAGCGCCTCGGTCACGTTGGTGAACGTCCGGCCGGACGGCTCCACGAAGGCGGTCACCGAGGGAGGGCGGCGACCGCCTGCCACCCCTTCACTTCCTCATCTCGTCCTCCTCCTGCGCCTCCGTGCCCTCCTCGTCCCCATTCTCCTCGTGCCCCTTCTCCTCGCTTTCGTCGTCGACCTCCTCGTCCTCCTCCTCCTCCTCCTCCTCCTCCTCCTCCTCCTCCTCCTCCTCCTCCTCCTCCTTCTCTTCTCCCTGTCGCACCCATAGGCGTGTCGGTAGGGCGGGCGGGGCATTTCGCTGGAGATGTTCTCAGCATGTATGGTCTTGACGCTTTCTTTTGCAGCAGCTCCAGGGATGGAAGGCTGGCGGTTGTTTTTTAATGTCGCTCTCGCCGTAGCGCCGCTCACGCTTGCCTTTTGAAAGGTAGCATCCGCTCCATGGATGGCGGGCGTTTTTCTTCCGAGGTGTGGCTCTCGCCGGAGCGCCGCGCGCACTCATTTTCTGAAAGTTTACGTCTGCTCCAGGAATTCCCATGGTCGACGACCCAGGAACGGCGTTCGGGTAAGCCTCCTCCTCCTTCTCCTCCTCCTACTCGTCGTCTTCTCCTCCTCCTCCTCCTCCCTCCCTCCTCCTCTCCTCCTCCCCCTTTTCCTCCTCCTCCTCCTCCTCCTCTTCCTCCTCCTCCTCCTCCTCCTCCTCCTCCTCCTCATCCTCAGCACTGTCAGAGCGTGCTTCGCAGTGCTGAAGTCCCAGGAGCGGTGTTCGGGTGCGACGCAGAGCTGGCAGGACACAACATCTAGGCTGATTCGCGGCGCTGACGTCCCAGGAGTTGCGTTGTGGCACGATGAGGGATCACGAGACGGCCACCTTCCACTGGGACGCTCCCTGCAATGAGAGTAAACTCATGTAAACTCTTGCATGGACCTGCGGAGAGGGAACGTGGAGGGAGGGTTTCTTACAGCATCGCTGATGCGTCTTGTGTCTAATTACACTGGGCCTCCTCATTCTCCTACTACTACTTCTACTCCTCCTCCTCCTCCTCCTCCTCCTCCTCCTCCTCTTCCCCATCCTCCTCCTCACCCTCCTTCTACTTTTCCTGCTTCTCCTGGCGAGGAAGAAGGGCAGGAGGAGCAGGGATCATGAGGAGGAGGAGGAGGAGGAAGAGAAGGAGGAGGGGGACGGCTCCACGAAGGTAGTCACCGTGGGAGACACCGGCCACTTGCCGCTGGACTGAACCTAGGGGCGCCAGCCCGCCATGAAGCGAGGTCGGCGAGTAGGTTTTGTGTTGGGCATCACTCACCCCAATCCTCCCCTTGCTGCTGCCGTTGCTGCTGGCGCTTCTCTCCCTTCTCCTTCCTGTCCTGCTGCTGCTCCTCGTCTTCTTCTTCGCCGAGGCTTGTTTCCTCCTCCCTCTTCTCCGCCTTCGCCTCGACCGCCTCCTTGCTCTTCTTGCTCGCCCTTCCCCTCCTCCTTCTTCCTGCCCTCCTCCCTGACCTCCTCATCCTCATCGGCATCGTCTTCCTCTCTTCCTCAACCAGGCCTGCCTGAGGGGCCCGCTTCTGCTCTTGAAGAGCCGGGGCGTGCCAGGCCTGCGCGGGCCACCGTTGCCCGGGGCTCCCGGTTGCCCGACTGCCCCGTTTTTTTTGCTTGCCCGGGCGCTTGGGTTGCCCAGTTGCCCGGTTGCCCAGCTGCTCGGTTGTCACCCTGCCTGGGTACGCAAGGCAGCGCAAAGCAATGCCAAGCATAATACCAAACCATGCATAGCAGTGCCAAGCAGGCACGAGCAACGCCAAGCAGTGCTGAGCCATGCCATGCCAGGACACGCCAAGCAGCACCCGGCAGTGTCAAGCAGAGCCCAGCCGTGCCAAGCAGTGCCAGGCAAAGCCAAGCAACGCCAGGCAACGCCAGGCGATGCACAGAGCAGGGCCAAAGAACGCCAGCCGGCGCCGAGCGCAGCGCCAAGCGCCGCCGAGCAATGCCGAGCAGTGCCAAGCCACGCGGTGCCCCGCAACGCCAAGCACCGCCAGGCAGTGTCGGGCTCGGCGGGCTCGGCGCGCCGGCTGCGGCGGCGCTCCCGTGCGCCGCCGCCGCAGCCTGCCCGGCGTGCGGGCTCCTCGGGCCCGGCCCGTCGGCCGCGAGGCGCTCCCTTTGCGCTGCCGCTGCGGCCTGCCGGCGCTGCTCGCTGCAGGGAGGCGCCGAGCGCGCTCCAGGACGTTCTCTTTTTCCTTTCTTTAGTGGCCAGTGTGCTTGCACGGTGGACCATTGTCGCTTCTGTGATCTGTAAGACCTCGCAGGGCAGCTGCTGGCAAAGGGCCTGGATCCCCCGCGGGGATCTGCGGCAAGCTGGCATCCGAGCAGGCACGTGCTCTTCGGACGCTCGCGAGTGGGCGCTTTTGGCGCGCAGCGGAGCGCGCTCGGCGAGGGGAGGCGGGAGGCCTCGGCGGCTGCGAGGTGCTCCCGAGCTGCCGCCGCAGCCGCCGGTGTTCCGCCACGCGCAGAGGGGAGCGGGGGGAGAGGGGAGGGGCTTCTTAGATGGGGGGCCAGATGCGAACCCTACCCCTACCCCCACGATTTCTGAGGGGGAGGGTGGGATTCACTTCGCTCGGGAGCTCCCGAGCGAAGTGAGCCCCGCCCTCCCCCTCAGAAATCGTGGGGGGGCGGGGGCAGGGTTCGCATGCGGCCCCCTAGGTGTGCCTCCACCGAGGGAAGAAGATCCCGATCTCGGCGATGGTGGCATGCTGTGATGGCTTCCGAGGTGGCCGAAGTCTTCTACACCGGCACCGAGATCCGGGATCACCTTCCCCCCTGTGGAGGCAGCCTCCCGTGTTGGTGCTGGTGCCCCTTTCCAGGCCACGGCCACGGCCAAGGCCACGGCCACGGCCACGGCCACGGCCACGGCCTCCAGAGCCGCTGCCGTTCTGGGTGGACTTGGCAACGCCCCGGCGTGTGCAATGTTTTTCTCGGCGGGGACCTCCGAGGAGCTCCCCGGACCACCTGTGACCACCTAGCGAAGGCCTGTGCTCCTCCTCTTGCTCCTCCTGCTGCTGCTCCTCCTCCTCCTCCTCCTCCTCCTCCTCCTCCTCCTGCTCTTCCTCCTCTTCCTCCTCCTCCTCCTCCTCCTCCTCCTTCTCCTCCTCCTCCCTGTGTTGGTGACCACCTGGCAGAAACAGCACGCGCGACGCCGAAACGTGCACAGGGCAGGGGCGTCCGAGCGCTGGCAGGCGGAGCCAGGAGAGAGCCGGGCAGCACCGGAAGCCACCGCGCAAGTTGGCCACGCCGCGGCCATGGCCGCAGGGGGGGGGGGGCTCGTCGGACCCGTCGGCTGCGGGGTGCGGCCGGCCTGCGCCCGCGTAGGAGGCCAGGTGCGAACCCCACCCCTACCCCCTCTACCCCTACCCAACACAGGAGGTTGCCTCCACAGGGGGAAGGCGATCCCAGATTTCGGTGTTGGTGTATAAGATTTCGGCCACCTCGGAAGCCAGAACATTATACCACCATCGCCGAGATCGGCATCTTCTTCCCTCGGTGGAGGCACGCCTAGGGGGCCAGATGCGAACCCTTCCCCTACCCCCACGACTTCTGAGGGGGAGGGTGGGGTTCACTTCGCCAGCAGCAAAGGATTGCAATCGCAACGCGTTGCAATCGCATTGAAATTCGTTGCGACCGCATTGCAGTAGCAGTGCTATAGTACTGACTGTCGCAGTAGTAGTACTGTAGTAGTGTAATATTCGTTGTGCTTCTAGTACTGCAGCACTCTTAGAACCGCCGTAGCAGTACTGCATTGATGGTGTGTCAGCACGGTCTTAGTCCTGTAGTTGTAGTAGAAGTAGTAGTAGAAATAGTAGCAGTAGTAGTAGTAGTAGTAGTAGTAGTAGTAGTAGTAGTAGTAGTAGTAGTAGTGGTAGTAGTAGTAGTCGTAGTAGTAGTAGTAGTAGTAGTAGTAGTAGTAGTAGTAATAGTAGTAGTAGTAGTAGTAGTAGTAGTAGTAGTAGTAGTAGTAGTAAAAGTAAAAGTAGTAGTAGTAGAAGTAGTAGTAGTAGTAGTAGTAGTAGTAGTAGTAGTAGTAGTAGTAATAGTAGTAGTAGTAGTAGTAGTAGTAGTAGTAGTAGTAGTACTAATAGTAGTAGTAGTAGTAGTAGTAGTAGTAGTAGTAGTAGTAGTAGTAGTAGTAGTAGTAGTAGACGTAGTAGTAGTCGTAATCGTATTAGTCGTAGTAGTCGTAGTAGTCGTAGTAGTCGTAGTCGTAATAGCAGCACCACTCCGGCCTTGCAGTAGAGGTCATATGCGAGCGTTTGCTCTAGTAGTCGCATTGTAGTAGTGTAGTAGAAGTAGTCCACGACTGTAGTACTCGAGCAGAGTAGTAGCATCCTCGAACTGTAGCGCTTGAGTGGTAGTCTGCCTGAAGAGGCTGCAGTATTGTGGGGCTGTGCCGTACTACTGCAGTAGTGGTACTGTAGAAGCAACACTCTAATAGATTATCCGTATGAGTAGTATTGCCTGCAGTGATTACACTACTGTAGTAGGACTACTCAAATGCCGTAGTCTATCAGCACTGTTGTAGTACTCTAGGACTGTAGCTCTGTAGTGGTGGCATTGAAATAGTCGTAGTCCAGTACTCTAGCAGTCGTACTGCCGTAGTGGTACTCTAGTACTGAGTCAGCGGTATTATGATACCGCGCTAAGCTAGTAGCATGATTGCATTCACGACATGGCAGCACTGTAATAGGCCTGTAGTTGTAATCGGAGTAGTAGTACCCAGGTCTCGCACTAAATATCATACTCTAGTACTTGCTGTAGTAGTCGCACTGTAGTATTGTCGTAGAAGTAAATAGTCCCCTACTGTAGTCTCCCCGAACTTTAGGGTTTCAG